ATAACTTTTATAAGGTAATAGGGTAATAACTTTTATAAGCATATTTACAAAGCTAAGTAGCTGAATATCTGTATATTTCTAAAACTGTGCATGTAATTCTTCATAATGGTATGAAAACAAAGACACTAAATTTATAATATATTACATCTGGAATTTGCTCCATTATATAAGAATTTATTGCTTGATTGCCTAACATTCAAATGCTGGAAATAAGTTACATTTTAGAAGCTTGCATATGACTAAAAATATTGAAGAGAGGATATATTTCCTGTAATATTTGCTTAATGTTATTACTGTTACAAGAGCAGCATCTTTTGAATGAGCTGTCAAATGTCACAAGTTTTTCATCTTTGGTTTATGCTCTTTGATAGAAATTTTACACAGTTTCTATCAAAGGGTAGTTTCAAAAGAGGTTACACAACATGTTCTTAATGGCATCCCCCTCTCCCCCAAAAGAGTCATGGATTATTTACCAAGCCTATTTTTTCACATGTCCCTAGGCCATGAAAGGAACCAGGATGGATCTAAACCTTCCTGGCCATTTCATCAGAGTTCATAAACTAAAAAATAATCCCAAATGAGAGTACAAGGCTATTTCAGATTCTACCTTGGGCAGATTTATTAGTAAAGTATTGTGCAAAAGCATCATGGTACTTAGGTAATAGCTGTTTCTTTTTTTTATTATTATAATTTTTATTAGTTTTTTACACAAACATAAGTCATTCAATAGTTGATAAACAGTGTGGTGTCTGGGTTACATTTGTAAGAACAGTCCTTAACAATTAATTTCTATAGTCTGTTTTTCATATATTAATTTTGTTTACTTTCCTCTTTCTCTAAAAACATCATTTTTTGCAAACATTGCGTTAATACAATTCTTATTGTTTTAATAACTGACAATTTAGTATATGTTTTTCCAATATTCCTAAAAAATAATCATCATATTAATACATTTCTTTTCTTTCCATTCATTTGGATTGCCTTATCATCAATCCTGTTACAGTCCTTATTTTAGTTTATTTTTCCCACCAAATTCTGAGTATTTTTACTGGTAGCAATTAGTTAATTTACGCTGACAGACTTGATTCTATTTTTTCCATATAAGCCATCTCACATTTTTGTGTTTCTTAAGTATTAAATATAAAAGTAAAAAGAGAGAGGAAGAGAAAAATAAAAAAAATAAATAAAAAAATACAAAAGAATAGAAGAAAGCAGTTGTAACAGAACAAAGAAAATAACATAGTACTTAAAATATATATCTCTCCTAGCTTAGTAATATTTATTTTCTCGAATTTCTAATTCTTTTTAATCATAGTTAAAAATATATTTAATCTTTAAACATTCTATTCAATAAATCTAGTCATCTAATCCCTTAACTCTAATTCAAAACATTTTATATGTATTATATATATTTTTCTTGAGTTCAGTCACCTTTAAATATCTAAAATATTTCATCCTTCTTAAAGTGTTCCAGTATTCCTAAACAATCATCATCATATTAATACATTTCTTTTCTTTAAAAAAAAAGAAAATGAAAAAGAAGAGAGGAAAGCAATAATAACAAAACATAAGAAATAATATAGTACTTAGAATATATATCTCTCCTAGATTAATTGTATTTATTTTCTCGAATTTCTTATTCTTTTTAATCATAGTTTAGAATATAGTTAATCTTTAGACATTCTATTCAAATAAATCTAGTCATCTAGTCCCTTAACTCTAATTCACTTATATATATATGTACTTTTCTTGAATTCAATCACATTTAAGTATCTAAAACATTTCATCCCTGTTAGAATGGTGTGTTTCAATTTTTTTCAATTTCTTTAACCATATTCAAACACGTGTTTCTTTTTTAAATATTCTCTCTGATATGTCCCATTATCTTTTTTCTTAATGTCTTTTCTTTGCCCCGAATCTATCTTGATCAATATATTTTGCTGGATCCAAAGGTTTTCCCATACGATCATAGGTGTTCCTGTAGATGTAGAAAGTAAATCAATATCTCTGTCCTGCGCACTTGCACTCTTTTTTCCATTAGAATTCCTTCTCTTGTCTTCCAATTTGTTTTGTGATGTTGAAGTATAAATTGTCTTTCCTTCCACTTGAATTAAGTCATACTTAATTTTGTAAAAGTCCATCTTTAAGCCTTTTCCCTCTGATTTATTCCATCATCTCTGCTGTGTTCTTCTGAGGATTTTTTTGAAGTGAGCTGAAATTGGAGATAAGTTGACTTATCTTATCTTTCAAAGTTGTTTTGTATTTCTTTATGGTTTAAGATCATTGTCCTTTGAATGGATTGCAGCATATCATATATTTCCTCTTGTAAAACATCCATTGTTTTTGTAAATATCACTTTCTCTGAACAGCTGTATTTTAAGATTTTAAAAGCCACAAATCAAAGTTTTTTAGCTTAGACACCAGGTGTCAGTGTTGGATCATTTTTCAGTTTCCTTTTTCTCCTTAAAGAGTTAAATTCGCCGCTTCCAATAGCCAAAAGGGGGGGGGAAATCCCTCCCCTTTTTTCACTCTTGGAGGTATTTTTGCTTCTTGGGAGTTCTTTTTTTTTTTTCAGGAAAATAAGTACGATAGAGAAAATTAGTTCTTACCCAGCTTAAAAATCACTGTTTACAATCAGTTTAGGTAGAGGTTCTTGACTTCCATTTGCTTACAGCTAGGGCTAGACAAGGAGTTAGCTAGCCTTTGTTCTGTTGGTTTCTGGGAGGCTTCTCCTGGACCTATCGGAGAGACCGCCGTCTCTACTAGGTCCCTGGAAGTACCTTCCTTCAGTGCCATCTCTCTGGGGCGGCTTCTGGCCCATTTAGGGTCCCCAAACAAGAAGAAACTCAGCTGAAGAGCTCGGCATCCCGAGTCTCCCAGCCGATGACGCTGCTGGAGGAAACAGGAAGTCCGGTGATAGCTGTTTCTGTTACCCTTCTCAATAAGGCTTTGCGTAATTTTAAATAAAGATGTATCTGCATGGTGTAGGCTCAGACATGAGTTCTTATACTCACATTCTATCTTTAGGCATTGTTCTTCTTCATTTCCTGAAGTTCTTCAGTAAGCCAAAGTGCCTCTGATCCACAAAAAGGATATTGAAGACAATCTTATTAGATGCTTGACCGACCTTAACACTTGGCAGAATTATCTGCCAGGTTGCTGGGAAAATCCCTAAGCATCCTCTGGGACCTTCTGGATTTATCAGGTGCCTGAGAGAAAACAGCTTTTGCTATCTTGGAGAAGTTTTGTGTGGTGATGAGGATCACTTGAACCAGAAAATGTTCCAACCATGGAAAAGGACTCAATAATGTCTTCCATCTTCATATTATATAGCAACTGCTCCAAAGAAAAACTAGGTCAAATAGATCTCAGCTTATGAAAGTCAGTCCTAAAACTGCCTGAGATGGGTCTGTAATTTTCATGGTCTTTATGAAATCCTGAACTTTGCCAGACTGGCAGATTGTCCAGGGTGCAGAAATAGAAATTCCCCAGCAGTAGTAATGGAGGGAAATCGAAAACCAGTATGATGATCCTGCAAGCTCCAGAACAAGGACCTTGGTCAGAGCTAAGCTGTTGCTAAAGATTATTGCAGTGTCCCCTTTCTTTCAGGAAGGTCTTGGTAACATATATCAAATCCTCTTGTTCGTCTGTCCCCAAGTCATAGATGAACATGGTTTTATTGATGGGAAGACTCGGTGCTTAGCAGCAACAACTGGAGAACAAATAGTAGTTGTGGGAAAGTAATTTGAGCTTAATATTCCCTTTTCCATAAACAAATACAACTTATATTTATGTACATTCTTTGTGAGAGTTGTTAGAATCTATCACAGAATTATTCAAAGAGTAAAACACAATTTTTCCTTAGTTAAGTGCCGATTCTTATTCTCCATTTGCCTAGGGTTATGTTTGTTTTTATAATTTTTATTTGAATCTGGATTTTATATTTTTTAAATTGTTTATTTTTATATTTGTTATTTGATTGCTGTGTATCTCCCAAAGTCACATTTTGTGAGATGAACAGCTATATATAATTAATAAAATAATAACAGTTATAATGATATTTAGTTGTGATTACTTTTAGGTTCCATTGATTCCAGACAGTCTATCATTTCAAGATAATATAAACTAGTCTAATAACACAGCAAAGCCTGATAAACTAGTTCCCTTATCAGTATTTAAAAATATTACTTGTTACAATTCATTTCATGAAAGAGCTTGCCAGAATAAAAAATCTTTTTTAGTGGTGGCTAAATGATAGCAAAATGGAGAATTAGGAAACTTGTTGGGGAAGATTCAGAAAACTATTTTTCCCCTTTTCTTTTTGAACTTTTCTTGGAGATATATGAGCCTTTAAAAACTTGTTTCCATAACTGTTGTACATTTCCTGTAAATATGAACTGAAGCAAAGTTTTTGAGGTTGTAAGTTTAGGCAGCAGATGTGTTCTGAATGTGAGAACTAGAACTATTAACCCCCATTGATTTCACCACATCTTTGTTTCTTCCTGCATTGGACAGATGTACTTTATTTTAAGGTTCTGGCTGGAAACAGGAATATAGGAAATTCCCTTGTATAGAAGAGTCACTTATTATTTTTATTTCTGAGATGGAGCCTATAGAGGTTCTGAAAGCTTTCTGCTACATAGAAATGATGCTATCTTATGTATTAGGTATATACTTCACAGTATGATAGCTTCTAGTAAAAAAAAAAATCTAAATAAAGAAATGGAACAGGGAATTGGTGACCTTGAAGAAATGGACACCATGTTGCCTGATAGTTACTTCCTTAACCTGTTGTAATCTAGATAGAGGTAGTCCTTGAGATAAGACAGCTCACTTAATGAACATTCAAAGTTACAATAGACACCCCAAAATTACATACTGTTTCAAAGTTAGAATGGCTGTAGCACCCCTGCTGTCATTTACCCTTACCCACGGGGATGTTGTAGTTCACCTGACTCTTTCTCCCAATCCCACCCCTGCCATGCCCATCACCCATTGCACTTACCTTTTGAAGCTCTCTGGTTCTCATGTTAGGGAAGGAGGGCAGGCCACATGTCCCTCGGCCCTGCGGAGGCAGCCTGAACATGGTTGCCATTTTGATATGCCTGCTTGTGGGTGGGGACAAAATGGCAGCCTCCAGACAAACCGCTTTATTTTGCTGCCTTAACAATGTCTGCACAGAGCTGCTGAAGCTTCTGAATGCTGCAGAAAGTTTTTGCAGAACTGTGTAGACCTCATTAAGGCAGCAAAATAAAGTTTGTCCCTGGGCCACACAGTGGCAATCTGAACTCAGCCGCCATTTTGTGGGTGGGATGAAATGCTGGCTGTTTTTGGACCTGTGCTATGCAGCTGTAGAAAGAAGCAATTCGTCCCGGTGCTCTGGAAGGCCTTGGAGCTCTTCTAAAACTAAGTGAGGAGGAAGATGTTTGGCCTGGTAGGGTGGGAATCTGGCCTAAAGATGGGAATGGGAAAAGAACTGTGGAGGACTCAAGGGGAAGGAAGCGGAGCATAGGGTGTCTTGGGATGAGTAGGCAAGGCCTTTGTCATGATTCCGACTAATGAAACACTTCAAAGAACTTCCAGATATTGTTTATCCTAAAAAGTCTTTTATTCATGTAACAAAATGTTGGCACGCATGAATGAGGTAGGATCAGGAGAAGTAGGCCTGGGTCTAGGCTAGGCCTCTAAGGACCTCCCCACCTCTGAGGCATCCCATGCTCCACTTAAAGACCCAGGCAATTGTTTAATGATTCATTGGGGAGAATAGGAACAGGAGGGTCATTAGGTGAGATGCTTCAATAACGACCATCACAACATGTGACTGTAATGGCAATATCCATTACAGTCATATTTCGAGGACTATTTGTACAATGGAATGCAAGTTCCATAATCTTCAGTGAGTCTGGCTGGGAGAATAATGGGAATAGTGGTCCATGATACACCTAACAGTGTTGCTTTACAGGACACTGGACTTCACGGACTTCAAGCTTGTGCCAAGCTTCCTGGATTCCATATAAAAGATTTTAATGCACATTTTCCTTTTGTAATGGAAGTACACAAAGGAAACAATATATGTTGTTGGCACTTGCCTAGAAGAGTACATTTCTTGAAATTTTGGCTAGAATTGTCTTATTCTAGCAGGTGTGTGCACATGTGAGAAACTAAAAGCCAAAAGCCATAAGCTAAAAAAGCTTATGGCCTTTCCATTTGGTGAGTGGAGAGAGCTTTGCATTCTTTACCTTTGGCTTTGTTCCATACAAGTGGAAAGATCTGCAGTTTTGTCCTGTTTATTGGCTGTTTGGAACAGATGGGATAGATATAGGTTCTCTTTTAAAGAGCTGAAGTCTATCTAGTGTATTGAAAATTAAAAAAGCAAAATTGCTAGAGAACAATGTATTGCTATATAGTCTGCATTTTTTTAGATATTGTTTATGCAAGAAAACCAGAGAGGGTCTACAGCCCTGCTCCTTTAAAGGACTATCTCCATTTACAAAAAATGTAGCTGAATTGATCAATTCAGAATTAATTTAAATTTAATCTCTATTTGAAAGGGATGAGTTAATTGCTCATTTAACTTCCATCAATCCTAAGTGATCAGTGAGAGAGATGGTGTAGTCTTGGACAAGCAGATATTTATTTGAAACATTTATAAACTGACTTTTAAAATACTTCCAGAGTTAGTCTATATTTAATTTGTTTATTGTGACTTAGTTGCTGCATGACTCCAAACCATGACTACAAACTGCATTGTGGACAGTTCACAATACATTAAGCTATAACAAACATAATACAAAACAACAAGATGAAATCTTACCACTCGATTCAAACACATTTTACAAAGGGCTTCATCCATCCTAACCCAACATAGATAGTCCTTGTTAAGCGACTGCTTTGTTTAGTTATGTGTTAATGAAAAAATAATATTAGAAATAAGACATTTGAGACACTGTGAGATGAAAATGCATTGATGAGATTTGAGAGATAGGTAATTAACTTGGCATGGTTAGGGGCTGAGACTTCTCTTTTTCTGGGGTACATGTTCTTTTCTCCCTTTACACATTTTTTTTCTCATAAAGATTGTTAAATTCCCTGAAACATTTCATCAGTAGCTTCATAAAGTTTTTCCAGTATATGTTTATAGTCAAGTTGAACCAAGGGTTGCTCCATTTCAAAGATAATAAAAAACAGTCTGTATCATTTAGTAGAGGCTGTGTTCAGAGAACATTTAATCGGTGTCCACCCCCACCAGTACAGCTGTTAATTTTCTTTGTATTTTCCCTTTTATGATAATCTGAAAGACAAGGTCAGTCCAATCCTAAAAAGAGAAAGTTGCAATTTTAATGTTTTCCACAAGGTGTCCTCAGTACAATGTAAAATCTTCTCCCAGAGACCAGGAATCTCCTAAACAAGATCAGGAAACTCAGTAGCAGATTCAATATTCACAAAATTTTCCAAGACCCCAAAGTGAAGGAAAAAAAAAATAAAAATAGGAAAAAAAAATCACTTTAAATTAATTCAGTCTATTTAAGCTTCTTTTCTCCACACTCACAAACGCCACTTTCTTAGAGCAGGGAAATAATTTCAAAAGTGCTTTTTACAGGCACAAAAGAAAAAGGAGAATCAAAAGAGGGAAAGAAAAAAGTCTCACCCAGCTCAGCCACAGTGGTTCCTGTGCTTAGATGTTCTTCTGACTTCTGGTTGCAGCGGCTAGATGAACGCCCATTTTACTGGCTGTTCTTTCCACCATCGGCCCAAAGGAGCAATCTCAGTCCCTGGAAGAAGCTGCCGCTCTCCCAAGGATGGCGAGGACCTCCTCACCGGTAGCCACCACTCCAAGGCGGCTTTTCGACCCGATTTAGGGTCTACTGGCAGCGGAGAATCAGCTGGCAAGGAGAGCCGTCTCCTTGCACAACTGCGAGCGCCGCGATCCCGAACTGGAAGTAGAATATATTTATTGATGGTTATATTTCAGTAGATGCCATGCACTGGCTTTGAGATTTAGATATATATTCCTTGTATCACATGTCTGTATATAAAAATACATCTATGCCACTAGCTGAAGTGATTATTTAATGCAGTTTGCAAGGAGTTAAAAAAGCATAAAACTGCAAAAAACCCACATAGCTTTGCTTGCAGAGCTGAATGGAATGTCATTTCATTACAGTCAAGTGTTAAATTACAGTATTTCTCATGTAAGGAAAATAAGGTTTTACCAAGCGTTACAAAATTGGTGGAGAGAAAATATTTCTGCACAGGAATTAGTATGTAGTCAGTATATGGACTGTAACATGGCAATCATAGCATGTGTATTTTCTTTGTAAGTTCATGTATTAGTTTTGTGTGGGAAGCTCCAGCTCAGTGCAGCCTCCCAACACAGCTGTATGCAAGAATATATATATCTATGTGATTGCATTACAGTTTCTGTGCTAGTTTCATACTTGAAATAGGTTTTCATCTAGCAATTTGGAAATGTTAACAGTCTTAAGAGAAACAGCTGCTCTGTGGCCAGCAGGAACAATTTCTTGTTGGGCTTAACTTAAGATAAGAAACAGATTATTCTTTTGATTTTAAGATATATGAATGAGAAAATTGTGGGTATACTTTTCTATGGTATGTTATAGGGAAATTAACAATGTTATTGCTTATTAAGTCAGACAGCTTATTTAAATTACAGATTGACACAGTTAAGAATAGTTGATTTATTGTTTACTTTAGAGCCTACTGCAACTTTGGCACATGTGTGAATAATCAATGCCTAACTTAATTCAAACAATAATGCTAGAATTATGATTTGGGAATAGAGAATTACCATTTCTTGTTGGTGTTGGTCTTATTTGGAAAATGGCACCAATGGAGCCTAGTTTTCCTAAGCCAGGGGTGTCAAACTCACAAGTCACGTGATGTGTCGTGATGTATTGTGACTTTTTTGCCATTGCCGGCAATGGGGTGGGCACGGTTTTGCTACGTTGCATCTGGTCCATGGGCTGGCAGTTTGACACCCCTGTCCTAAGCCCTCTTAAGAAAGGATTTGTATACAGACAAACATACAGAGAATCTCCAGGTGATTCAGTTAAAGCTTGGTTCAGTTAAATCAAAGTAATTAATTACCAAAGAAAGCAAATGAATTTTTTCCCACCAGTTGGTAGTAGTTTAGAATATAAATTGGAATGACTAAACTGTTTTGTTGATTATGTGTTAAAATTATATCCATAGGCTCACAGGCAGCAATTGATTAAAAACAAAGTTTTAATAAGCAAGGTATTAAATGCAGTATGAATGTACCCAATACAGATCAAATGATGCTTAAAATAAAGAACCAAAGTCTTTCCCCCCCCCCATGATATTAATTAATTTGAGGAGAAGCAAATTATAATTCCCAGGACTTAAGTCATTTTCTCAGCATAAAGCTACAAGAATAGTGTTCTTGACAGCAGAGACCAATATTTCAGCAAGCTGTTTGATTAGAATAGACAATAAAACATTATTTATTTTCCACCATGCATTTTTAGCCAGAGTTTATCAGAAGGTTAGGTGGGATCAACTGATACATCCTCAGATAATTTGCAATATGTTGGTAGAATTTCAAACTCAATATAGTTTAGCAACAAGTAAAAGCCCTTACCCCTACCCACCAATCAATAGGTGTCAATCCTTAGAGGTAGGTAAGATGAAGAAATAAGAGGCAACAGAGATTATAGGAATGCCTTATATTATTATAGGGTAGAATAACAGAATCTTGAGAATCTGTCTGTTTCTTTCTGCCCTATCTTGTAATACTTTCTTTCTGAAGCAAAATCAAGTCAGAGTTATTATGAGTTTCTTTTTCATGCTATCCACTTTTCTAGGCCTGAGTTATCTTACTTTTCTCCTCTCTTAATAGTTCATTGCTCTCTTCTCTAGGTCAGATCTACTGCTTCACGATATGTTACTAAGGATGTTTTCTTAAAACAAAAACAAAAAAAACTCAAAGGGTAGACTCAATGGATCATTTGGTCTTTTTCTGCTGTCAGTTTTCTATGTTTTTATGGTAGAGGAAACTAGGAGTAGAGTTTTGTATGGAATGACACTTAAACTTTGCTCCAGTACTGACCAAAAATTTCTAGACTCCATTTCATAGGCATCCTGATGTTAAATTTCAGCACAATTTTCAGGAAATATTCAATTATCTGGACATCGCCAGATAACTTCTTGTGTTATAGCCCTATTGTTAACAGAGCTAAAACATTTACTAGTACCTCACTGTGTTTTCAACAACCATGCTGTATCATTTCTGAATCAACCAAGAAGTGTTTTTTAACACTTGAAGATGTGTAGACTTCAAATCTCACAATTCTATAATCTATTATGGAAGTCTAAAGTCCATACATTTCGCCAAGGTGGAGAAATATGATCAAAAGAGCTTTGGAAGAAAATCTATTCATCTTTTTCTAGAAGGTAGATGAGCGCTCTCCAAAATATTAATGTATGGAGAGAGCACTACCACTACAAGGAAAATTTGTAGAGCGCACATTCTTTTTATGGACAATTTCCCAAGTTGCAGTTTTGTCCTACTTGGGATTTGGGTTCTGCGATACCAAAATCTGCTTTTCCAAAGCATTATATCAAAATATTTATTTTGCATCCAAATGAGCATGGGATGTTTTATTAGAGATTGTGAAGTATATTGCAGTCTGTTTAGTTATTTTCAAATGAAATGCTGTTGCTACTAAACTTTGGCTTATTTTTTATAGTGATTAAGATGCTGGCCTAGAAATGAGGAAATTGTGAGTTCTAGTCCTACCTTAGGCACGAAAGGTGGTTTATCTCTTAACTCAACCACCTCACAAGGTTGTTGTGGAGAAAATAGGAAGAGGAAAGAGTATTATGTATGTTCACCACTTTGAATTACTTATAAAGTGATAAAAGTACAATAAAAATCAAATAAATTAGTAAGTTTTATATTTCACTCCTAATATTTGGAGCATATTGCTTCACAGTTAAGAATATGCTAAGCATATAGCTTTCTTTTAGTTTTTACTTAATCATAAGAATGCTTTGCCAATGATTTCTAATTTTTGTTGTTGTTTCTTAAAGGAAAACGCCAGATCCATCATTTAGGGAACCAGCTGCAACTAAATCAACATTGTCTTGATACAGCCTTCAACTTTTTCAAAATGGCAGTGAGCAAGCACTTAACTCGTGGGAGGAAGATGACCCATGTCATAGCAGCATGCCTCTACTTGGTGTGTAGGACAGAAGGCACTCCGCGTATCCTTTCACTGCTTAGCAGTCAGACCATTTCAAAATGTCTTGGATATTTCTAGGACTGTATGAATAGAAGGTTATTTTCATATTTGTTAAAGCAATAGAAAACCATTCCAAATTGGATAAAGGTAAACAGTTGATAGAGATTATTAATTGATGGGAATTATTAGATTTAATGGCATTTGGGTAAGGGTATGAGTTGGAGATAGTCCATCTGATTAGATTATATCACAATGTGATTATTTTTCAGGAGAATCTACATCTAGACCAATATTATAGTTCTAAATCCTAAGTGACACATAAGTTCTGAAGGGACTTGTTGACTAGGTAACATATGACCAGTTCCTGTCTTGTATAGGTATAGTTAAGGATGATTAAGTAATAGATGTAATTAATGACAAATACATTCTAATGATAAAAACTGTGTGATTGATCTGGAGTCTAGTCCTTTATGCTAAAACCCTATCCTATCTGCTTCTGCTGAGCAAATGGTTTATTTTGAATTTTTGTACTTTTTTGTTTTAATTTCATACACCTGCTTTTCCTGTAGCATTTTCTAGGTTTTGTTAGATTTCTGGGTATGTTTCCATTTTTCTACATTATTCTTGTTAAGAGTGAAATTAGATTCTGATGTCCAGACAGATAAGAGATCAGGGTAATTTGAGACAAAGACCATATTCTTTAAATATATAATAAGCAAAAAATATTCCTGCAGGAATCTTGTTGAGTTGAAGGTGAAAAAAATCAAACAGGAAAGGAAATAGTAGATACTAAATTACTTAATATAAAGGATTATAGGAAATACATAGAATACAAAATAATAATAAAAAAGATGTGTTGTATGTAATTCATCAGAAGTTGGGAAAAATAAAAAAAATATACTAAGGAGAGAACAGAGAAACTAATGGTGGTTGGGTGGAGAAAGTGAATTTATTACATTATCCTTGATTTATCATATAATCCATGAAAAAAGGTTATTGATCATCTACTCATAAAAATAATTAGATGGTTTGGCTATTGGCAGTCATTTCTGCTTTTTAAACTTTCCTTGATCCAACAAACCATTCAGAATATGGGGCTCTTTATCCTTCCTTATTTTCAGATAGGCTGTAGATTAAAATCATTTCCCTCCCGTTGATTGTACCATTTATGGGGTTAAACAGCTTTTTCTCTCTATTAAGGCATCCCAACTTGCACACAAGTTCATGCATCCTAGGGCTTGCACACAAGTTCATGCATCCTTGAACTTGCACACAAGTTCATGCATCCTAGGGCTCTGAGGGTTCTTAGGGCTTGAGTCCCTCAGACTGGGAAGTCTCCAGAGGATGCTGAAAAAGTAGCTGATAAACATGACAAGAATGCCTGGACCATTGTTGATATATTGCAGTGTTTCCCAAACTTGACAATTTTAAGGCATGTGGACTTCAACTCCCAGAATTCCACAGCCAGCATTGCTGGCTGTGGAATTCTGGGAGTTGAAGTCCACATGCCTTAAAATTGTCAAGTTTGGGAAACACTGATATATTGGATCTTGATAGAACTAAACCTACCTACCTTTCTTTCTCTCTTTCTCTTTCTCTTTCTCTTTCTCTTTCTCTTTCTCTTTCTCTCTCTCTCTCTCTCTCTCTCCCTCCCTCCCTCCCTCCCTCCCTCCCTCCCTCCCTTCCTTCCTTCTCTGTTGGAATAGACTGTCTAGCCTGTTACAGCAAACCTTATAAATTTAACATATGTATTATTGAATCAGCTTTTCTGGAGAAAAACACTATTCAGTTCCACATTAGATAGTATTTTTCCTTAAGTAAATGCATTTCACATTAGAAAGCAAACTTTATTATAATTCATTTTTTAAGATTTATTTTAAAATGTGAAATACATTGATTCAACATTTGTTTTCCTGCTTTGCTTTAAAATGTTTGAAATATAGAAACAATTTTAAATATTCATTGCCAGTAGTGTTATGAAGGGTATTAAATGTGCACATCACAGTGTATAGATAGCCACCTATATTATGTTGCAACTTTGTTCTGTAACATTTCACATAATTCTATTTATCTGCCATGTTGCCAGGTGTCTGGATTTATGTAGTGCTCTAGTGCCAGACATAATGTTAGCTGCTTGTGAGGAAGATCTTCTTCTTAATGCGGCAGGTCAGCTTTTGATCTACCCAAGATAAATTTGAGAGAGATTTTTTTTTTGCTTTTTTATTCTGTACTTTTGTCTATGGGTCGACTGGTTTTTCCACTTTTATAATGGATAATAAATTGAAATGCCATATAAGTAGCAATTACAAGTTAGCTACTATATTTTACTTAGGGTTTCCAAGAGAACCAGACAACAAACTTTCCTCAGTTAAAAGAGAAAGGTCTTATTTTAAAAGGGATAACATTGCAAAAGTTGTCAGGGGGACTTTTCAAAAGAGAGCCATTCATCATTTTAAAAATATTTCCATATGTCTGGCGGTGCGGCTGTTAAATATGCCCTCTTTTTTGACAGGTGGAAATATTTAAAAAATGTTTTATGAAATAATATTAGCATGTTAATATTATTTTATTGGCATAAACTGCTTCAGTTTTCCTCTTGCAATTAACTTGACATCTGGTCCTCAGAAAGAGGTAGTACATGAGAGAGGCCATCTGGCTTAGTGATTTATGTGATTCTGTTACATAAACTAAAACAGTGAAATGGATGACAATTTTGTGAACATGGGCAAGCTGGATATAATAGAATGATTTCATTTGTACTGAGTTTCACCTAACATTCCTGCTTTCTTGCTTTTTCCTAATACGTTGATTACTTTTGTTATTTTGGATATGCCATTTCATTAGAATCAGATCTTATGAAGAATTTAGGGAAGCAATCTCTCTTTCTGGGCAGCTAGATACATGGAAGAATACCTACAGAGAGGGGAATAGTAGTTTAATGGTTTTCATGTTGAATGGCTCAGCCTCTAGCATCTCCAGTTAAACATCAGAAATCAAGTAGTGGATAAGATATTTGCAAAAGGTTTGGACAACTGCTGCCAAGCAGAGTGGACTGTGATCCTGATAAAAGAGAATATTTGTAGCTTAGGGATGATCTTTGGGGTCCTTGGAGCTCTCCAAGCTTGGCCGTTTTCTTACAAATGTTTCATTACCAAACTAGGTAACAGAATCAGTGCTAGAAAAGAGTGGAGTTTGCTTTCTTTTTATATATTAGTGCCCTGTCAGTATTGGTGGGAGTGGTCTTGGTGCTTTCTTGATTAGGCTGTTGCTTACTGTTGTCTTGCTTGTTTGAGTTTGTATTTTTTTGATTGGGGTATAGTTTACTTCTCAGTCGTTGGCCTTAGTATTAATCTTGATGTAATCTCTATGTGCCTATAGATGGCTGATTTATCTGAATACCAGTTTCCAGGAATTCTGTAGCAGTTTTGGACTTGGCTTGGTCTAGGATGCTCACGGTTTCCCATTTGAAACTATGATTAAGTCTACTCATAGAGATAAACAACATCTACATACCATTCAAAAGAAACAATCAAAGAGTCAAAAAGGGAATAAAAAGACCAAAACACCTCTACATCAGCAACCAATATCAGACAAATGGTCTGGTCTGTTGAAAAGTCCCTATGATTCTTCTATTACCATACTTGATAATGCATCTTAGTTTGAAATGAGAAGTCCTGTGCTTATCCATGTATATCTATACTGTCTGCATCTAAAATATAACTTCTACAAATATGTATATTTATTGCATACCTTCAGAATATTTTTCTTTCTTCTTAATCCATATTTCTTTTTATCCAAATATTGCTTTCTTTTTTCTTTTGCCATCATTCATGAATATTAAGAATAAGTGAAAAGTCTCAGATGTAAAAGTTGGTTGAGTTAACTTGCTTGTCACATGATGTGTTGCGACATATCACGACTTTTTTCCCCAATGCCAGAGCTGGGGCGGGCGGTGTGACACATCTGGCCAGTGGGCCAGCAGTTTGACACCCCTGACCTAAGGGGTTGAAAGACTGCTATTAAGGTGCTCATAGTATCAAAGGGATAGTATTCCACTGAATGAGAATAGCCTGTGTCTTTAATATCATGGGAATGAAATATTTTTAAAGCTTTGCTGGACTTTCAAAAAGCAGTTTCAACAACATCACTTTTCTTGTCTCAAGGAAAGGCTTTGGGAGGAGTCAGATCTGTTAGTTTTGGATCATGACCATTTCTGCAATGGATTTTGATGATACTCAACCTGTTCTAGGACCTGATCCTATTGAATTTTCCATCCACATGTTATTTGACTGTTCTGAATGTGGATGACTTCTGGGCTAAAATTCTGTACAGTTCTTTTGCTGACTTCACTAGAAGCAGTCTTAAACATAGTAATATCGTCTAGAACATGCTGGCTGAGGAATTCCAGGAGTCAAAGTCCATAGATCTTAAAGTTGCCAAGATTGAGAAACACATGTCCAGAAGAAAGCTGCCTGTGTATTTTCCTGGAGTAAATTTGAGTTTTTCTTTGATGTTGAGTACTGTTTTTATGTTTACATTTGCTCTCAGCCTTGCATATAAGTTGAGGTGTTTTTTCAGTACAGCAAAATAGGAGCCTCAGATTTCATCTACACAGGTCTATTTATCAATGAAACAACACATCTGTGAACCCTGTCTCTGACAGAATCTGCTGTGTAATTCTGAAGGACTCTTTGAAACAGATTTCAACAGAGTGCATGAGGCTGTAGGTAAAAGAAGGAGGTAAAAGCGGTTATGTAAGCAGAAATGTGCTTATGCAACGATAGGTATCACTTTTTAATGATATTTTGAATGGTGTTTCTTTTGGTATACCTTTAATTTCTTTTCATCACCCGCTAATGGAAGGTTTATTGTATTGTTCCCCAGGCACTGTGATATTCACTTAGAACATTCTTCATATCGGAACAAGAGAAAAGTTTCTTATATGCTTCATCTCATTCAGAGCTGTCTATTGTGACAAGTCTCTATGATGTTGGGAGAAATCTTTTCTAATTCTGGACTTTT